ATGATCAACTAGATGATCTAAGTCATTGTTCTCTGATGCATTACTCTGCAAGACAGAGGAAAACATTGATGGAAGAGATTGTTTAAATTTGGTTACAGCATTTTCTGATAAGCACCTGCTGAGATGAAATTTACTCTCAGTGACTGTGTAGTCATTTAATGTAAACTCAAAGGTTATTAAAAAATGATCGGACAGAATAGGATTTTGAGGAACTATTACCAACTCCTTAATCTCTATACCATAGGTCAGAACTAAATCAAGAGTGTTATGATAAGAATGAGTAGATGTGCGGACGTTTTGGGTAAAACCAAATGAGTCTATTAAATTATTAAAGGCTATGCTTAAGCTATCACTCTTAACATCCACATGAATATTGAAATCGCCCATTATGATGATTTTATCAGTATTTAATAGTAAGTCAGTTAAGAAATCTGAGAATTCAGACAAAAACTGAGAGTAAGCGCCTGGTGGACGATATGTAACAACTAGTAAAAGTGGCTTTTCTGATTTCCATTTTGGATGAGAAAGACTGAGGGACAGTGATTCAAAAGAATCATAACTAATAGCCAGTTTGGCATTAATCAATAATCCTGACTGAAAAATAGAAGCTACTCCTCCACCTCGGCCAGTTGTTGAAGGACCATGAAAATTTAAATAATTAACATGAGTGGATTAATTTATACTAACAAAATCCTCCTGTTGTAGCCAAGTTTCTGTCAGACAGAATAAGTCAATATGATGATCAGTTATCAGTTCATTAACTAACAGAGATTTAGAAGAAAGAGATCTGATGTTCAATAATCCACATTTAATGATTTTATGATTTTTCTCTGGTAAAGTAAATGTGTTTATTTTAATCAGATTTTTATGGTTTATATTTTTAGAGCTGATTTTTGGTTTATTTAATTTGAACCGTGGGCGAGTTGACACTGTTTCAATGGGGGTGTGGGTGGGTAACAGAGGAGAAGCAGCAGAGAGGTGTGGAGGACTAGAACTCTGCTTCTTGGACTGGACCCTGGGTTGTCAATAATATGGGGGATAAACAAAATCAGCCATATTTCTAGAAAGAAGAGCGGCTCCGTCCAAAGTGGGATGGATGCCATCTCTCCGCATCAGACCAGGTTTTCCCCAGAAAGAACTCCAGTTATCTATGTAGCCCACGTCGTTGTCAGAACACCACCTGGACACCCAGCGGTTAAACGATGACATACGGCTAAACATGTCATCGCTGGTCAGTTTGGGGAGGGGGCCAGAGAAAACTACGGAGTCCGACATGGTTTTAGCAAAGTCACACACCGAAGCAACATTAATTTTAGTGATCTCCGATTGGAGGGCAGCACGGTGGCGCAACTGGTAGAGCTGCTGCCTCTCAGCGAGCAGGTCCTTGGTTCAAACCCTGGTCCAGGGGCCTTTCTGGGTGGAGTTTGCATGTTCTCTCCGTGCATGCGTGGGTTTTCTCCGTGTCCTCCGGTTTCCTCCCACAGACCAAAAACATGCGTGTTAGGCTGATTGGTAACTCTAAATTGGCCCTAGGTGTGAATGAGAGAGTGAATGGTTGTTTGTCTAGTTTGTCTCTATGTGGCCCTGTGATGGACTTGCGACCCGTCCAGGGTGTACCCCGCCCCTCGCACAGTGATTGCTGGACATGGGCACCAGCGACCCCCGTGACCCAAAATGGAATAAGCGGGTAAAGATAATGGATGGCTGGATGGATCTCCGATTGGCATAACCGGGTGTCATTACCGCCAACGTGAATAACAATCTTACTGTATTTAGCCTTAGCCTTAGTCAGCAGTTTCAAATAAGATTCTATGTCGCCCGCTCTGGTCCCCGGAACGCATTTGACTATGGCCACTTGAGTCCCTAAAGCCACGTTTTGGACTATGGAGCTTCCAATTACCAGGGTCTGCATCACAGCGGGTGTGTCACTGAGCGAGAAAAATCGATTAGAAACGTGAACGGGTCGGTGGTGAACTGGGGGCTTAAGCCTTAGCACTACGCTTGCTCCGGACCATCACCCAGCCGGCCTGGGGTCCCGGCTGCTCGGGGTCTGCTGGAGGACCGCTAACGGGAGCTAGCCTCTGTAGTTCCGCGCTGTCTAAGGGGACCTGGCTAGCTACTGGTTTTTCTACAGCGCGGAGCTGAGCTTCCAGTTCAGACAGCCTCTCCTACAAAGCTACCATACGACTACATTTGTTACATGTATCATTACCACTATAGGAGGCAGAGGAGTAACTAAATATCTGACACACGGAGCAAGAGAAAACAGAGGAAGCAGGGAGAGAAGCAGCAGCCATGCTAAGCTAATGCTAGCAAGAGCTAACAGAACCAAATACACCAATAAAAACCGAGAAGTGTTGAAAGATAAGAGGTGTTTTAAGCACTATCCAACAGTAGAAAAACAACTGTACTGTGTGTTTGTGAACTAGAATGAAAAACTGTGCAAAAGACAGATAAAACCAGAAAACAGAGACGACTCGAGCAAACAATTCACTCGAGCTACCAACAGACAAACTGGAAATGACATAATTCGTCTCACCACGAACATGCAACGTCACACCACAGGACAGGATCTCCTCATTTGTACAATGCATAATACTATTACCATAGAAACTTTTTGGAGGAATTTTCTAAACTTTGATTTACAATAATAGTGTGAATGTTAATGAATCATTCACACTATTATGATCCATTTTTCTTCCGTACTTTTTTCAGCATATTTCTTTATCCACAATTTTTGTGCTATTTCAACAAATCGTAAATCAAAATGTTTAGCTCGTTCAGAAGACGGTTGCTATGACTTTTGGTATTGGTACAACGTTAGCTTTTGAAATATTTAGCCTTTTATGACATTTTTTCTCATAGGAAATTAACTGAGTTCATTTTACATCCTTCAAATCTTTAGATCTATTTACAACCTTTTACTGCTCCTACACAGTTTGTTCTGGTTCAGCTTCTTTCAGCTTCCTTGTGCAAATTCAAACTTTTTTCCAGCTGCTTTCAGCTGTTTTTTCCAGCTGTTTAGGGCTCCTTTCAGCTTCTTTCTACTAACTACAACATTTTTGTGCTTCTTCTTTCTGCTATTCAAATTATTATGCTCCTTTCAGCTTATTTCTGCTAGTTTCAGCTTCTTCTGTTATTTTAGCTACTCTTTAGCGGTTTTTATGTTAATTTTAGCATTTTTGGCTAATTCCACATTTTAAAAAATAATTTCCACTTTTTTGTGCTTATGCTGCTTCTTTAGCATGATTGGGCAATCATGTTATTTCTGGTTTCAAAAGAAAAAAAAACGTTATTAATCCCAAAGGGAAATTATTTGTTGTTGTAACTCGTTATCCTCATTTCATTAAGAGATGTTATAGATACTGATGGCTGTAGGCAGGAAGGATCTCTTGTAAAGGTCCATCCCACAGTGGATCCTAAGAAACTGGTTGCAGATGCCGTCCGATCCGTCCACCCAGACTAAGCTGGCCTCACGGTTCCCCTGGGCTGTAGGACCGCCCGAAAGCCGGGCAGAACTCCTCCCAAAGCGATGGCCACTCCTCCCAGCAGTCTGCCGAGCTCCTCGTCGCTGCGGACAGCCAACTGTAGGTGCTGAGAGACAATCCTGTCCTTCCATTGTCATGAGCCGTGTTTCCTGCTAGTTCCAGGATCTCAGTGGTCAGGCACTCGAGCACAGCTGGCAGGTAGATGAGAATGCATCCACAGATCCTCCTTTTCAACTCATTTGAGATTTGGGGCTGTAGTTGAGATATTATTTGAGCTTTTGAGATGTTAATCAGCTGCTGTTGGTTGTAGAAAACTGCCTTGTTGTCATGGTTGCGCATCATAACAAATGTCCAAAACTAAAAAAGTTTCAGTAAAAATCCTTCCAGCTGCACAGCGTCTGATACCAGAGGAAACAATCATCCAAAAAATGTGCTTTACATACAGAAAAAGAGGAATTAAAGTTTCCAAAAGCAAAATCTCAGAATGAAAGTAACAGAGCTGCTCCAACATGCAGCCACCTTGAGCAGCGCAATTCTAGAATAATTTCTTCTGCTAATTTAAACTTGTTCTAACTTTTCAGCTAGATTTTTTAGCATTTTAGCTAATTTAAGGTGTTTTTGGATAAGTTCCAAATTTTTCATGTTAGTTTCTGCTACTTTCAGCCTAATTAACTTCTTTATGCTAATTTCAGCTTGTTAATAAGTTCCTTTCAGTTTTTTCTGTTAGTTTTATCTTTTTCTGCTCTTTCAGCTACTATTTAGCTCTTTTGATGCTAATACTAGTTTTTCAGCTAATTCCACATTTTTTGAGGTTCTTTCACTTCTTTTCACTTCTTCCTGCCTTTTCAGCTACTTTTCATTTGTCCTTTTTTCTAATTTAATATTTTTAGCTAATTTTCTGTTTTTTGTGCATGCTCACTTCTGCTTTTTTTACATATAATTCAGCAAATATGTGTTCTTTCTGCTTTCTTCTGCTAATTTAGACTTGTTCTTCCATTTCAGCTACATTTAAAAAAAATAAAGCTTATTTCAGCTGTTTTTCAGCAAGTTCTTCAGCAATAAGCATTCACACTGCATTTTCACAGGAAATGCAATTTCTCGAGTTAGCTTTATTTGTATGCTGAGTGTTTCTTTGACAATCGTGCTTTCATCTCTTGAAGTTATGACAAACTAAATATGAATGCATATGTCAACAAGATGTTTTGCATTTATACAAAGTAGTTTGTTTACTGCAAATGCAAAGCTATAATATTTTGCTTGTGTTTGTGTGTTTGGTGATTTGCATTTCTGCAAGGAATGCTAGGTCATAGAAAAATGAATTCTCTTGACATCATGAATGCTCTTCTAGAAGAATAAAGAAGCTGCTAAAACATCTCAGTCTGCTATCGTTGTGGAAATATTAACCATTAAAGATGTGCAGCACTTGGCCATTTATTTTAAATAAACTAAAGTGTTTTCTTTACTTAAAGAATGACCTTATCCCTAAACCTTTTTCTTCACACTTGTCCACAGGTGCTCCAGGAAGGATCGGTGTCCGCGAGCAGAGGAGAGCTTCCGGTTTGCGAGCGACATTGACCGCTGCGTGAAGGTTATTGCTCACCCAGACAGCATTGCTGTATCAGCACACAGCGTCCCCGTGAGTCTGCTTATCATTCCACCAATCACTGTACTGCCACTCACAGTGCTGGAGTGTTTCTGAGCAATCACCTTGAATAGCCTTGTATAGTAAGGGTGACCCTGGGAGAGGCTAGTTCTGTGGCAGAAGAAGTGAACAGGAGGCTGAGTCTCTTTGTTGAGCGTCACTGTGTTTAGGCTCTTTCATAAAACAGTTCCACAACATGACCCCACACACCAGTCTGTCTTTAAGCTGCCTTGGGTCATTCAAAAATTACATTTTGAAACATGTACCACACAAATATGGGCTTTTAAAAATGAAGTGAGCAGAACCAAGACACATGGAGGTCAGCTGAGTTGATGCAGAGAACCACTCATTATGTGTGGTGGACGTCTCTCTTGTAGGAGTCTTCCCTAGGTGAGGGACCAGACAAAGTGCAGCCCAAAGACCCCGATGATGAGACAAATAAATGGACCTAGTGTTCCCTTGCCCGGACATGGGTCACTGGGGCTCCACTCTGGAGCCAGGCCTGGAGGTGGGGCACGCGGGCGAGCGCCTTGTGGCCGGGCTTTTACCCATGGAGCTCGGCCGGGCACAGCCCGAAGAGGAGACGTGGGTCCCCCTTCCCATGGGCTCACCACCTGTGGGAGGGGCCAAAGGGGTCAGGTGCAATGTGGGATGGGTGGTGGCCGAGGGTGGGGACACTGGCGGTCTGATCCTCAGCTACAGAAGCTGGCTATTGGGACGTGGAATGTCACCTCACTGGTGGGGAAGGAGCCTGAGCTGGTGTGTGAGGCTGAGAGGTTCCGGCTAGAAATAGTCGGACTCACCTCTACGCATGGCTCGGGCTCTGGAACCAGTTTCCTTGAGAGGGGCTGGACACTCTTCCACTCTGGAGTTGCCCCTGGTGAGAGGCACCGAGCAGGCGTGGGCGTACTTATTGCCCCCCAACTTGGTGCCTGTGTGTTGGGGTTTACCCCAGTGAATGAGAGGGTGGCCTCCCTCCGAGTATGTGTGGGGGGACGGGTTCTGACTGTCGTTTGTGCTTATGCACCAAACGGCAGTTCAGATTATCCACCCTTTCTGGAGTCCTTGGAGGGGGTACTGGAAAGTGCACCTCCTAGGGACTCCCTTGTTCTGCTGGGGGACTTCAGTGCTCATGTGGGCAATGACAGTGAGACCTGGAGGGGTGTGATTGGGAGGAACGGCCCCCCTGATCTGAACCAGAGTGGTGTTCTGTTGTTGGACTTCTGTGCTCATCATGGATTGTCAATAACGAACACCTTGTTTGCATAAGGGTGTCCATATGTGCTCTTGGCACCAGGACACCCTAGGCCGCAGTTCGATGATCGACTTTGTCATCGTCTCATCTGATCTGCAGCCACATGTCTTGGACACTCGTGTGAAGAGAGGGGCGGAGCTGTCAACTGATCACTACCTGGTGGTGAGTTGGCTCTGATGGTGGGGGAGGATGCCGATCAGACCTGGCAGACCCAAACGTATTATGAGGGTTTGCTGGGAATGTCTGGCAGAGTCTCCTGTGAGACAGAGTTTCAACTTCCAACTCCAGGAGAACTTTGAACATGTTCCGAGGGAGGTGGGGGACATTGAGTCTGAGTGGACCATGTTTCGTGCCTCTATTGTCGAGGCGGTTTACCAGAGCTGCGGCCGCAAGGTTGTCGGTGCCTGTCGCGGTGGCAACCCTCGAACCCGATGGTGGACACCGTCGGTGAGGGATGCTGTCAGGCTGAAGAAGGAGTCCTATCGGGCCTTTTTGGCCTGTGGGACCCCGGAAGCAGCTGATGGGTACCGGCAGTCCAAGCGACATGCGGCTCGGGTGGTTACTGATGCAAAAACTTGGGCATGGGAGGAGTTCGGAGAGGCCATGGAGAAAGACTTCCGCACGGCTTTGAGGCGATTCTGGTCCATCATTCGGCATCTCGGGGGGAAAGCGATATGCCACCAACACTGTTTATAGTGGGAGTGGTGTGCTGCTGACCTCAACTCGGGATGTTGTGGGTCGGTGGGCGGAATACTTTGAAGACCTCCTCAATCCCACCGGCACGTCTTCCACTGAAGAAGCGGAGCCTGGGGACTCTGGGTCGGGCCCTCCAATCTCTGGTGCTGAGGTCACCGAGGTGGTTAAAAAGCTCCTCGGTGGCACGGCCCCAGGGGTGGATGAGATTTGCCCAGAGTTCCTTAAGGCTCTGGATGTTGTAGGGTTGTGTTGGCTTACGCGACTCTGCGATATTGCGTGGACATCGGGGGAAGTTCCCCTGGATTGGCAGACCGGGGTGGTGGTCCCCCTATTCAAAAAGGGGGATCGTAGAGTGTGTTCCAACTACAGGGGAATCACGTTCTTAAGCCTCCCTGGTAAGGTCTATTCAGGGGTTCTGGAGAGGAGGGTCCGTCGGATAGTCGAACCTCGGATTCAGGAGGAGCAGTGCGGTTTTCGTCCTGGCCATGGAATACTGGACCAGCTCTACACTCTCAGCAGGGTCCTGGAGGGTGCGTGGGAGTTTGCCCAACCAGTCTACATGTGCTTTGTGGACTTGGAGAAGGCGTTCGACCGCGTCCCTCGGGGGACCCTGTGGGGGGTACTCTGGGAGTATGGGGTACCGGGCCCTTTGATACGGGCTGTTAGGACCCTGTATGACCGGTGTCAGACCCTGGTCCGCATCGCCGGCAGTAAGTCGGGCTTGTTCCCGGTGAGAGTTGGACTCAGCCAAGGTTGCGCTTTGTCACGATTCTGTTCATAACTTTTATGGACAGAATTTCTAGGCGCAGCCAAGGTGTTGAGGGGATCCGCTTTGGTGGCCTTAGGATTGTGTCTCTGCTTTTGCAGATGATGTGGTCTTATTGGCTTCATCAGATTGTGATCTACAGCTTTCGCTGGAGCAGTTCACAGCTGAATGCGACGCGGCCGGGATGAAGATCAGTTCCTCCAAATCCGAGGCCATGGTCTTGTAGTGAACCTGATCTGACCCTGATCTGACCCTGATGACCTCAAATCTATCAGATGGACAGAGACTGTTATTTCATTGATCTGAATACAGTTTGAGCCATCTGGTGACTCTCTTTCTTGAATTAATCAAGCAGAAAAGACAATTTTTATAATCATCACTGTTTTACAAATGTTTGATAATCAAATTGTGTTAGTTCACTCAATGTTTACAGGTTGAAGAGAACTACTCATTTTTATTTTACATAAACAGTAAGTAATGATTTTTATTCCTCATTCAAAGAAGAAATCAGGTTAATATGCTTTTCTTGATTTTCTGTCTGAAATGAGCCAAGTTTGTAAGTATGTTAAAGGTCGGTTTTCGGTCAACTAAAATGTTTACCGAGAAAAATGTCATGTTTAAACTTTTTCAGAAGATAATAAGGGTGAGACTCCACGAAGTCTGAAGTCCTACAATAATCTTTCTGTTTGTTACTAAACAATCCTTGACTTTTAATAACATCTTACATCATAAACCACACCTCTATTCCTGGTCCATCGACCAATCAAAAGCTCTCAAATGACCCGGAAGTCGACCCATTTAAAATGTGGCAACTTCCCAGTTCATGTAGGAGTCAAGGAGATGAAAGAGTTGAAGGAGTTGCAAGAAGCTGAGACGCTGAGTTGCTGGAGTTTTGTTGGTTGCTGTGTTGCTGTACTCAGAAATGAGTTCAACTAGAGAGCGCACAGAGTGATGGAGTTAGAGCTCTTGGATACAGACGCGTTCAGGATGATCCAGAGACGTTTTGGAATTATAATTTCTGTTTGAACACCACGCACGACTCTCGAAGGATTTCAGCTGCTCTCAACGGAGACGCTGAAAGAGTCTGAAGGATTCTATACCGACATTGAGTCATCGTCAACCAGGTAACAGTTTCTTCTTCGACTAAAGTGTACCGGAAGCAAGCTGAGATCTGATGGAGCGTGCACGTTCTGGTCATAACAGATTAATTCCCTCACATATCTCTCTGTAAGATAAATCTCCATTTCATCTTAAACTCTGCTTTCTCCTAAAATCAGTACAGATATTTTAGAAATATCTGAAGCAAAGTCCTCAATCACCGCCGCGTGATTGAAGCTCATTATTTGTGAAACTTGTCTGTTATTATTTTCATATTTTGCCAAATTAATGTAAATGTTTGATGTTAAACTTTGATTCTGAAAATAAATGACCGCATTCATTTTGATGGGTCAAAGATAATAACGTCTCTTGTTCGCATTTCTGTTAAAATTCAATGCACGACATTACACAGTCAGAAAGATGAGGAACTCGTGAAAATTGTATGCATATATCTCGTATATGTACTACTACAGTCTTCAGCCGGAAAAGGGTAGAGTGCCCTTTCCGGGTCAGGGAGGAGGTCCTACCCCAAGTGGTGGAGTTCAAGTATCTTGGGGTCTTGTTCACGAATGAGGGAAAAATGGAGCGTGAGATCGATGGGTGGATAGGTGCAGCGTCTCCAGTGAAGCGGGCGCTGTACAGGTCTGTCGTGGTTAAGACAGCACTGAGTCAAAAGGCGAAGCTCTCAATTTACCGATCGATCTACGTTCCTACCCTCATCTATGGTCACGAGCTTTGGGTTGTGACCGAAAGAATGAGATCTCGGATACAAGCGGCCAAAATGAGTTTTCTCCGCAGGGTGTCTGGGCTCTCCCTTAGAGACAGGGTGAGAAGCTCGATCATCCGGGAGGGACTCAGAGTAGAGCCGCTGCTTCTCCACGTCGAGAGGAGCCAGTTGAGGTGGCTTGGGCATCTGTTTAGGATGCCTTCTGGACGCCTCCCTGGTGAGGTGTTCCGGACACGTCCCACCGGAAGGAGGCCCAGAGGAAGACCCAGGACATGCTGGAGGGACTATGTTTCTCGGCTGGCCTGGGAACGCCTCGGGATTCCCCCGGAAGAGCTGGCCCAAGTGGCTGGGGAGAGGGAAGTCTGGGCCTCCCTACTTAGGCTGCTACCCCCGCGACCCGACCCTGGATAAGCGGAAGAAAATGGATGGATGGATGGATGGATGGATGGATGGACGGACGTCTCCCTTGTATTCATTCAACCTTTATTTATACAGGTTAGTCTAATTGAGCCTCGAGGACTCATTTACAAGAGAGAACTGTTTTTAACAAACACAGATGAGGTACATACAACAATAGACAATCATATAAAATGAAAAGAAGAAATGAAACAAAAAACATACTAAGCATGGTAAAATACTAAAAACAGGAACATGTCTGCGTTGGTTTTTGCAATGAGATGTATGAAGGCAACAGACCAAGAAGTGATTTAAAGATGAAAATGTACCAGTGAGAGAGTCTGCGTGAAGTTATTGATGACCAGTTAACCAGTGAATACAGGGTGCAGTGATGGGTATGGTAGTTACAGCCAGTTATGAATCTTAGTGCACCATGATAGACAGCATCCAACATCTGCAGGGTGCTTGTAGGGGCGTCCATGTAAATAATGTCACCGTAGACAATGGAGGGAAGGAAAGTAACAGTTACAAGATGTTTCCTAGCATTCAGAGTTAAACAAGATCTATTTCTGAAAAAGAAACCCAATTTAACTTTTAGTTTCTTTACCATGTTTTCAACATGAGAGAGATGCCAATCGACCAAGATACCCAAGTATTTAAAAGAATCAACAAACCCAATAGAAACACCATTCATTTTATCATTAACATTTTCAAGACATAATAAATTAACTCAGTTTAATGATCCTTTTGAGGTTAACTATTTTTTAAAACTAAAAACAAAGTTGCTGTGCATCGTTATCGATCTTCCCTTGGCAATACATTAGTTTTTTGTTGTTTATTCGTGCAAACAGTTGATCAGTAAAGTTGTCATCACTTCATCAAACTAACAAGCAGCACCTTTTCACATCATTTTGATTCTGTTACTCCCTTGCTTTGTGGCACAAACTCTTATCAGGAGTGGATTGACTTCCACTCCCCTCACTGGTAGAAGTCACACGGAGGCGACCTGAAGGAGTCCAAGTCCTGGCCCGAAGGGCTCTTGTGAAAACGCTGTTCACAAAAACCAAGAACAAGATGGATTTTATTCAAACTCTCAGAAATAATCATTAATACTACATCTATAAATGAATACCCTTTTGACTCATATCAGCAGTGGTGGGATGTAACTAAGTACAAATCCTTTGTTACTGTACTTAAGTACATTTTTCATGTATCTGTACTTTACTTAAGTAGAGTTAAATGTGGGTACTTTATACTTTTACTCCACTACATTTTACATCAAGTGTCTGTACTTTCAACTACACTACATTTCTATAATGCGTTGCATTACAAGTTACATTCATGTTGCGGATTTTTTATTTTTTTTGTTACTTTGAATGTAACCAATGGTGAGAGGGGAGTTGGTCCAGTGAATCACTGCAAAGTGGGCAGGTAACGTTAGGCCCGCCTTCAAGAAGAGCTGGGCCAATGACATATATTCTAGTATATATGTCACTGAGATGGGTGCACCCGCATCATCGTTAACACACCAAAATGTATTCCACCGCAAGAGAGCCAGCCAGAAGATATGCTCCACCCATGGCCTTATTGAACGACTGCTCAGTACAACAGGACAGCTTCTCTCTCCTAAAAGAACCAGATTGGACGCTAAAATCTTTGAAAACCAACTTCTTGCGAACTTGAACAAGAAATTCTTGCTGCAATATTAAAATGTGTCAGTTCATGGGATGTTAGGAAAGGAAACAAGAGATGTCTCCAAATGGCTCGACACTCAGGTCCAAGTTTTAAAAATGGTGTCAGAAAGTTAAAATACTGTTCAATATTGACCCATTACAAGGTTGACTAGACAGTATTTTAACTAGAGTTGATGACAAACTGGAGTTGAAATGATCAGAGCCTATTCTTTATGTCTAATGCTCTTTTTTCAGGCAGACAACTTTTATTTAAATGTGTTTACTGCAGTTAAAATTACACATTGGTTTTGCTTTTTGTTAAATATAAACTTTCAAAGGTATAATCATTCCTCTTTCTTATTTTGCTTAATGGCATTTCACTCTGCAGGTCATCCCTGAAATTCTGAGGCACAGAATCACAAGTCCAAGTGTGAACTGTCACAGAGTAAACACAATAAAAACATGCATTATCTGCAGCATTGTTCATTAAAATGGCTCAACACTATTAATGTATTACAGAAAATATACATATGGTAGGCAAACTTAAAGATATGTAGACCATTGCATTATGTAATACATTCAGGAAGTACTTTTACTTTTAAAACTTTAAGTATTTTAAAAGCAAGTACTTATTTACTTTTACTTAAGTAAAAATGTTAATGTGGTACATCTACTTTTACTAGAGTACATTTTTGTCTGTTTATTTGTACTTTTACTTAAGTACAGTGTTTGAGTACTTTCTCCACCACTGCATATCAGTATAAGCTGGCTACTACAGCTAATCAACATGAGTAAAAACAGAAGTGGCTGTAACTGAATCAGTTTTACAGATATTGCGCAAACATTTGGAAGGTTGTAGCTGAGAGTGATTCCCTACACATGTGCTGAAGGCTATCACATCTCATGAAATCTCACAAAATTGTGTAAAATCACGCTTAATATCATTTACGAGAGTTGACCAATGCAACTTTAGCTGTGTCCTTTCCAATTGTAAGATGTGCACGACCTTCATGTTTCATCTTTTGATGAATGGGATATTAATGATACGGGAAGTCTGCAGCTGAACCAGAAGCTGATTTGTACATTAACATGTTGAACTAATGAAATTCATCCATATTGTTCTGTAAAATCAGTTACAACATACAGAAAACACAGTAGTAAAAATAACTTCAGAGCCAGTGCTATTTTTCTCAATATCAAAATGCTGTTTGCTTTCAGTTGCTGCTGGAGGTGAATAATGTTCCCGACCTTTCTGCTGGAATTACCTGTTCGTTTGGCCAACAGGCCCTAGCTGAGGGTCACGTCAACGGTAACCGTGTCATGTGTCTTTCTCCGGCCGGGAAAGAGGTCCCTCAGATACTAGAGGGGCAAGGTGAGTGCAGAAATCTGCTCTAAAAACCAACATGATACTGAATACACAGGTGTTTTACAAACTGAACAAAAGTTCATACAGTATATATACATGTGTATATATATATATATATATATATATATATATATCAGTGTTTTTCATTGCTCACTCTCTTGAACCCTGCTTCATATTTCTTGATATTGCTTGCTCCTCTCTTTCAGACTGGGCTGGCGTGGAGCTTCGCCTGAATTCAAACGAGACGGGTCAAATGGTTGCCAGCACCGAGGTGAAGTTCTACAACTGCAGCATGCATCAAATGTGAGTGTAAGCAGCCCCCTCCCTCCACCTTTGATTTGTTCAATAGATGGAGGGGCACTACATAATTTAGGCCAATGATGTCCTGATGCTCACAGCCCTACTTAAGATTGTGCTGTTAGATAACCTCTGAATTCAATTTATCTGCCAGGTTTCAAGTCAACATGATGCGTTTGTCACGGCCTGTTTGTGTTGACTTGGCTTTAAGTGGCGGTTTGTGGGCTTACTTCTTACACGATTAAATACAGCTGGAAAGGCTTTTTGAATTCATGTAAATTTCCTAATTTTATTTATGGCTGTATAAATTTCAAACAATATTCTATTCATTTTTTAGAGGATTTACTTCTAGGATTGTTTTAATTTAGGCATTTACAGGGCTTTGACAAGCGTTATCAGTATGTGAGTGCAGAAGGCTTCACCACGCTGGAAGACAAACAAAGTACATTAACAGAGCTGGTACGGTCTTTTCTGCCATACACGTCACACCACCCTCTAAGTCGCATCAGTCCAAATATCTCTCTTTGCCGTATACGTCGCATCTATTATGCATCACCGCTGATGTGTTTGTTACGTGTCACCTCTGACAACCCGGAAACGTGGGCCAATGTTGTGCCAAAAATCAGTTGGCTGCCAAATGGTGGCCGCTGGGGCAAGCACGGGAAGACTTTAACAAGATTAATACTTAAAAACAATTATTTGTTTGCTCAAAATTATAGCAAAGATGTGTCTCAGTCTAACTTTTCCATAATGAATTCACTTTGACGGTCAAATCAGCTGCATTTTCAAAAGCCGATAAGTGGAAACTTGAACGTGCAGAGGGCGACTCGCTGTGCATTTTTTTTTCAAAATTTAAGAAGATAACTAACCTATAACAATTATTTGTTTGCTCGACTTTATAGTAAAGGTGTGTCTCAGTTGAACTTTTACTTAATTAATGCTCTTCAATGGTCAAATTAGCTGCATTTCACCAGGGCGGCACAGCAAAATGAATCTGATTTGACGGTTGCTCCAGGTAGATGACAGTGGCAGGCTTTGGCCAGCCATTTGTGTCATTAATAGCCACTTCTACCTATTACATGATACAATGGCATGCCCTACTACTCAAGTGCCATCTAGCGACTGAAAATGGAGGTGTTCAATATTTTCAGTCAGAATGAATGAAAATGGTCATATCTCAGCCAAAAATTGGTTTATAAATATGGAAAGAAATCTGTTGCTTCAGCATGTAAGTCGCAGGACATGCAAATTATGCAAAAAACTGCGACTTATAGTGCAAAAAATACAGTACTTGTATTGAAACAAGTTTTATTTGCAATATTTTGTATTTACAGAGCTTTATAACTCAAAAACAAACAAAATATAAAACAATGTGACACAGAAGTTAGAATATACTGTATGTAGACATTTGAACCAGACGACAAGCAACAACATTGGCAGAAAATGAGATTGATGTTCAACTTCAACCACTTTGATTAGGAATATGAGGAAATGGTCGATAGTTCAACTCAATAAACATGTAAACACTTAATTTTTATATCCTGATAAGTAATTTGCCTGTTTTTTTAATCTGTGCCTGTTTATGAGAAAAGACCTCAAGGTGTAAAAAGTTATCTAAGCTTAAAACTATGACCTTCCTGGTTGGATCCTGGGTATGGGCATTATAAAAAGGAATGGTTACAGCCAGAGTTAGTATTAGGTAAACAGGTCAATTACTGATAAAGGGACTTTTTTCCATCTTTTTTCTATATATATACACTACACAGAATTCTCAATACTGGAAGTCAAAATTAATAATGGATATCTGTATTGTGTGTCAGAGTGAACAACTCTGCAGTTTTAAATATTTTCTGTCATTAAAAGAATCCATAAAGCTGTTATTTGAAAAGGAAAGTGCACGTGTGACTGTACCTCCAACAAAACAAGCCAAATAACTGTACTGATTGAGACTCATGGTTAAGAAGTCTGCCTGACCAAAGTTTGTTAGTAACTGCTATCTTCTCTGGTGGTACGATTCCCAGGTTTGTTCTGGGACTTTAAAGTAGGATTTTTGATCTCTGTCTTATTCAAGAAGCCAAAAACGATACAAAGGTTTGCAGTTGTGGTTGAATAGACACTGATCACTGATCCAAACACATTTTAATGATTTATTCTTTTGTTCTGGTAAAGTAGAATCAGAATAAGCTTTATTATCATTGCACCGAAGTACAGCGAGATTATATTCCGTACAGTCGTTCAAAAGATGGGCGGAGTGCACGTGGCTATAAGAGCGCGGCCCCTTATTCTTTACATAGAAAAGGGGAAGACCATGAGGATAGGCTAGTGGTATTAAAAAAAGGTCTCTTCACACCTTGTTACCCTTTCTTGTGCTTTCTGCAGCAAATAAACTTTCATTCTAAGTAATTTTACGTAATGTTCAATCATTTTTTATTTTTAACATAAATTTTGTTGATCTTCTCAAGACCCCCATTGACGTTTTGCAAACCAACCCCAACTTTGAGAACCACAGCTCTCTGTGTTCTCTCTTTTTGCGTGTATCGACATTATGGTCTTTCAGCATGAAAACCATGCACACGCAGGAAGTGATGTCATCACAACGTGGTTTTTAAACTTTTACACTATTGCTTTTTTCCTTGTTTAGGCTCATTAAAAACCTGCCGTGATCACATACTCATGTCCAATAACAAGTGTGGGTTTACTATTACAATAATGACAACCATTTTATGTCAATTTATAACTACTGTGCAATTTTGTGTTGTGTTGTGAGTGATGGGAAATGTTTTGGCGTTTACAGTATATTAAGATCTTTAATTAAAAAAAACACCCGTGTATTTATTAAGACGTAGCACCCTTTACTGTTATGAAATCAACTGAATGCCATAAGCACTAGAAAGAGGCTCTGAAGTGATTAAAGATTGGACTTTTAACATTTGTGTCAACATTTTCAATGAAGACTGATTAAAGCATGAAGTCTTTGTTGGAATATGCTGCAATAAACTTTTATTGTCGGATGCAAACCTCACACATACTCAGAGCAAGAAGTGCTTCCTGTAGGCTGGTAATCTCTAAGGGCTACTAAATAGATAAGTATTAGACTCACAAACCCCCCTCTGACCTAAGTTTGTCTTAAGGGACCTTGCTGCAGTTTTATGTTTGCGAAACATAAGATGCTCTACATTTTTGTCCTTCTCTGTTGCCTTGTGGGCAGTTAAAACCATGCAAATTAAAGAGCACTTTATTTAAATGCCAGCCAATATAAACTCCCTAAATGGACATGGAAACTGTTTTGAGGATGCACCATTTTGCAAATGTCAAGCTTATTAATCACAAGATTAGACCGTGGCAAGAGTCTTTCTTTGCGAATACCAATTACAGACAAGAACAATGCTGGATCTTATTAGGATGAATGTCAATCAGCTGCATTTGTCATCTTAAAAACCTGCAAACCAGCAAATTTCTCTGTTTTCTAGGGCAAAACTCTAAAAAGGCCAAACCACAAGCCTTTAAAGTCCCTTTGAGGACATTTAAAAAAATGGGATATATTGGTTTCCATTCATGCAGTCATGCAGCAAAACTGGTGAAGAATGTTTTTCATTTTAGTGTTATTAACATTTAACTGACTTTCTTACACGCAGGCTTCCCTTGAATCATGACCCACTGTATGGAGTTTGATGAAACTTGTTAACTTTGCCAGTTTTACAAATATAGTACTAAAATGGGGTGTGGCAGAAGCAGAGTCGTCTGCAACACATTCTCTAGGTGCTAACACAATTTGCACAAACTCATCCATCCATCCATTATCTTTACCGGTTTCTTCCATTTTGGGTCATGGGGGTCGCTGGTGCCCATGTCCAGCAATCACTGTGCGAGGGGTGGGGTACACCCTGGACGGGTCGCAAGTCCATCACAGGGCCACATAGAGACATACACAAACTCATAAAATCGTGAATTTGTGCATACGTTTAGCTAAAATGGCGATAAAGTTGCCCCCTCATAGCATATGAAGATTTTAATTTAAAACTCTGACATTTTAAGGCTGTGGATGATGTACACTCTGTCTAAAAAAATGCTAGTTCTTGGGACCAGTGATAAACAGTAAATTAGCTAAAGGGGAACAAACAACAATTGATTGATGTAGCAAATCCAATAATCTTTCCTCCTGTGGACGTAATTTTTTCAAGAAAGCACTTTGACTGAAACATGAGTGCCCCGATAAAACCTTATTAAGCCACTGCAAAGAAACAGTTGGAAGCTCATCACATCTGCTCCTTACCAATATGGCCTCCATTAGCTGTGGGGTGACCCTGTGTTCTCTTGTGATTAATATTTCAGACCAAACATGTTCCAAACCCAGCTTTCCCAGCACTACCATCACCTCAGCATCACATGGGCCTCCATAATTAATTATCCAGCATTCACAGCATCCCACTGCTCCAGCTCCAATGTATTAACACCCAGCCCCCTAATTTTTTATTTTCTCTCACACACCAACACTTATTTTTATGTTCATACAGGCTCAGAGCAGCTAATTAATATCAAGATTTAATTAGGCTGCACTGCATTTATTGGTGTTTGTTGCTTGCTGTCATCAGCAATATGTTAGTGGTTTTATGATTTATGATTCATCTTATTATTATTCGCCACCACAGGTGAGTGCATGGCAACAGTGTTTTTGCCAGTGTCTGTGAGTTTGATTGTCTCCTCCTTTTAACAAAATATTCCATAAACTGTTGAACAGATTTTTATGAAACTTTCAGAAAGTAATCAATAAACTGGCATCTACAACTGATTTCACTTTTGGAGTCCACCCGATTCAAGATGGCCACCACAGCAAATACAATTTTAACCAACACGGAAATTGCTATAACTCAGTTCATTTGATAGATGAGTTAAATTTGGTGCGGTAGTAGCTGGTAGTGCTTGCCAACCTATACTTTGAGTGTTAATGATAACACAAGTATGTTTGAACCCTGGCCATGAACTTTTGAAATCAATTCTGCTTGTTAGTGC